AGTACCTATGTATGGGTGGATCTCCYGACCTTTGAACGGGATTTCATGAACCGATTTGATTATGTTCACCCTGAGTAGGCATTGTACATGATCAAGGACCGAGTGCAAAAACCGCTCGAATCCGTTGCGGAATATCGAAACCGGTTCTACAGGATGTTCGTGAAAACTGAGCGAGGTGAGCAAGTAGAAAGGGATCTGTTCATTGACGGACTCTGCAGTCGAACAATAAGGACTAAGTTGCGAAAACAGTTTTCTCCCATCACTCATACACTACAACAAATTATGGTTGCCGCGGAAGAAATGGAACGGAAGTTCGTAGCGAACTTCCTGGAAGGAGAAGACTACCCTAGAGACGGAGATTTGACCAAGCTCGTACGGGACAGAGCTAAACTGGCTGCTTTACAGAACAAATTTGAAAACATGGGATTTGTATCAGGACCTGTCACCTACATGGAACAGATAGGCCCCAAACAAGTAATTCTAAGCGAGACTCCGAGCATCTCTGCTCCTATGATACCCCCGCCCGTCAGGGCATTACCCCCGCCGCCGGTTGAGACTCCTGTACGATCAAACGAATCGGTGGTCATTTTCGAACTAACCAAAACGTTGATTAGTTTGATCCAAGAAAGCAAAAAGGAACAGCGAGAGCACAATGCTCGACTGGAAGCCATGATGCGGAACATGCGACCTATCGTGGTGCGTGCCCCTCCGATACAACAAGGATTAGCGCTTGCCCCGGCTCTCGGAGGAGCTGCGAACAATCTGAATGTTTGTTATGCATGTCATCAGCCCGGACATCTAGCCCATGATTGCCCCCACCGACCCCGCAACAGCGGATCGGAGTCGCACCTATGGTTGCGGCCCCCATCGCCAATGGACCTGGACGAGTCGGAGCTTTGATGGAAGAAGTGGAGGGTGGGGGAAGTGCCTTGGCCACCACGGAAGAGGCCGCCGAGCTAATTCTGCTAGATTAGTATGTGTCGCTGGGATATCCTGGACTAGGAATGATCGGAACAATCAGACCAGCACCAGAACTGAAAGAAGTGGCGGAGTGGCGACCGTGCTTAGGAGAAATGGAGTTGGGAGGACCCACCTTCGTCACAGGAGGAATCAATGTATTAAACATTATCCGAGCTTTGGACCATCGGATTCCACTACCGATCGGTCATCTACTCTCGATCTCTGAGCAAGCCAATGAGCGAATGCTACAGCATTGCAAAGCAAACCGAAAGCGGTTTGCCCTCGCCTGAACACCAAGTGCCAAAGCCAAGGGCCCCGCGCCGGAAGAAAACCCAACAAGCACTCTGGACCCAATACGGGTGGGATTAATTCAGAAAGACGATCACTTCTTACGGATTAAACCGATTCCGTGGAAGTCCGCAGAATGTGATATTGAAATTTGGGGAGTTCCTTACAACGCGATAATAGATTCAGGAGCCTCTGTGTTGGCTATCTCACTAAGAGTGGTCGAAAGGGCCGGTAGGAAAAACGATCTGATCATGCTCTCCGAGAAAGATCAACTCGTTTCGGCAGATGAGGAAAAGATTAAAATTGTGGGGAGAATGACCAATGTCGCTTTCCGACTAGGTAAAATACACGCACTTGGGGATGTCGTAATACTAGATGTTAATACGTACGACGCTCTTTTTGGACTTCCCGCTCTTGTGGCGTTACGAGCAAACCTGGATTTCGAATGACGATCGATCATCCTCCGAAATACAGGAGAAAAACCCTACGTGGTGCCCATGCGATTGACCCTTCGCACTACTATTAACGCGGTCCCGCGGGTCTCGCGGATGATGGCAGGGACTCTCCGCATGATCTCCTGGGACGGACCCACAGAAGGAAAATCATCTGATGATGCGGAAAGCAGTGACGAAGATGATCCGGAGATCTTGAAATTAGTACGACAAYGCGTTTACTACCCGCCACCCAAGACGATAGCGAGAACGATGCAACCGACCAGCCGAAAAATTCAAAGGACCAAGGCAATGATCTTGGGAGAGCCCCTCATGCAGATTTCGAGGATGGTCGACTCTTTGGAACCCCCTCAAACTCTGTACGAAGGGATCACCCCTCTCCTCGCCAGGTATAGAGATAAAAAGCATTATTGCGACATTACGGAACTACCTAGGTCTTCCCGAACATCGATTAAAGAAGTGAAGTTGTTACGCTTGGGGGCGGAAGCAAGCTCTCTGGAACCCCCTTGGGCGTTTTGAAGCAGAAACAGACAGGCTGGGGATAAAGATTGCAACCAAGGAAGTGCCATGGCAGATGTTTGCGACGGGATTACCCCAGAAGGACACGTGGCAATCCGGGAAGAAGATGCTCAGATGATGGCCACGGTGTTGTCCTGGCGATCTGATCATTCGTTCATCTCGGCGCCTCCACCCGACTTGGCAAAACAGGCACACATGAAACATATCGATGTTCAGATCTGGGACCAACTTTTCGAACTATGCGTTCCACAGTATGTGGCGGATGAAATCCACCGGGTCATTGCGGATATTCTAACAGAATATCGAGAACCGATTAACGTGTCAGATACTGACATTGGGTTGTCGTTAGTAATCCAACATGAAATTCATACAGGAAATCACTCCCCGATTCATTGCAAACCCTATCGCTATTCCCTGATTGAACGCAAAAAGGCTCTCGAACGAATTCGGGAGTTCGAAGCTAGTGGTTGGATCGAACCTGCTATCGGACCTTGGTTTTTTCCCGTAGTATTAGTACCGAAGAAAAACGGAGCGATTCGCATTTGTATTGATTATCGCAAGCTGAATGAAATCACGATTAAAGATGTGTATCCCCTCCCCCGGATTGATGATCTATTGGATGCGATTGGATGCGCTAATTATTTCAGCAAGTTTGATATTCAGCATGGCTTCCATCATATTCTGGTGAGGGAAGAAGATCGGCCAAAAATGACCTTTGTGTTGTTTGAGGGCACGTGGCAGTGGGTTCGGTGTCCGATGCGGATTTGCAATGCGCATGCCACGTTTCAGTGAGCGATGAACATGACGTTCCAGAACTTCGTCAACAAGACACGGCTGACGCAGGGGATGATTAACTTCTGCGTGATCGTGTACATGGACGACATCCTGGTCTATTCGAAGACCTATCACGGACACGCGCAACACATTGAATGGACATTGAGTGCATTGAGAGACGCTGGGTTCAAGATTGCGCTTGAGAAGAGTGAATTTTTCCTCTCAGAAATTTCGTTCCTGAGCTATGTCGTGACATGTGGAGGATTGCGGCCAGACTCGAGAAAAGTTGCGGCAATGAGGGAAGCTCCGGTTCCCACGTCTCTGATGTAGGTTCGAGCCTTCTTGGGGCTGGCGTCGTACTATCGCCGCTTCATCAAGGGTTTTGCCGCGATTGCACGACCACTAACGAATCTGTTACGGAAAGACCAGCCTCTCAGCTGGGACGCGGAGTGCCAGCAGGCCTTTGCAACCCTCAAGGACGCTCTAGCAACGGCCTCTATTTTGATCCCGCCGGACCCCTCGAAGCAGTTCATCCTCATCACGGACTGGCAACCGGAAGCTATTTCCGCTATTTTAGCCCAGAAGGGGAACGATGGTCGAGAACACGTCATCGAGTACGCGTCACGAACCGTACCGGACGAACGAAGAAGCGACTTCGCACCTCAGGGTGAGTGCTATGCAGTAGTTTGGGGAATCCAACACTTCCATCCGTATCTCTACGGACAGAAGTTCCGCCTCGTAACGGATCACGAGCCTTCGTTGGCGCTGAAGAAACTCACCAACTACACGGGCATGATTGGCCGTTGGGCGGTGTGATTGCAAGAATACGACTTCGACATCGTCCATCGAAAGACAGAGCGACACGGCAACGCGGACGGGCTGACACGTCTACAACGGTCTGCCAAGGTACCAAAGGGCGAGAAAATTACACCGTGGAAGGAGCCGGACTTGACCCACGAGCTGAAATACGGACAAGTGGCAATTCTTCCACGTGGCAAGAAGTAAAACGGTGACGATGGGTGATGGAGGTAACCCCACTACCCCTCTCTCCCCCCCTTCCTCTTCGTCTCTCCTCTCCCTGCCCGACAAATTCTGCTATTTTTGCGAAGCTATTTCCCGCGTATATTCAGTCTCCATGCGTCAGAACGGGGAGGGATATGCGGATTGGATAGATTGCCGATAGTGTGTTGCGCGAGCCCATGGCTTGTGCATCCAATACAGAAACGATAGTAGACCATGGTTGTGTCCCTTGTGCCGGACCAACAAGATTCCTACCGAGGCTCGATTTTTGGATGCCACGTTAGAAGGATTGGAAAAGACCCGAAAGTTTCGAAGGGCCGAAGTAAAGACGGATATTGCCTTAATTGCCACCCTAGTAGGTAACCCCCTCCAGGATTTCACCAAAGAAGACCGGAGGAGGGCCAACGAAAGAGCTCAGGATTATCGATGGGTAGACGGTAGATTAGAAAAACGGAAAACGGACGGCAGTGGGATTTGGATGGTAGTGCCGCATCCGTTCATGCGGTATGACTGGGTTAAGACAACCCACGAGGAAACTGCGGCTCATTTTGCCGTGCGAATCACAGAGTCCGCTATCGACAAAAATGAGTGGTATTGTTCCAATATTCGCGACGATGTGAAGTACATCGTTGCCAACTGTCAGGTCTACGCCGCTGATAAAGCGCCGATTCAGCCGCCAAGATCGATAGTGCCCACGGTTGTTGAACGGCCATTTCAAAGAGTGAGCATGGACACTACCGACATAGTGGTGCCCCCTGGCCCTAATAGTTGCGAGTATTCAGTCCTGCTGGTATTTGTCGACCATTTCTCGAAATGGATCGAAGCGTATCCTTGTCGCACGCGGCAAGCCACGAAAATCGCGTGATATGTCAACCGTTTCCTCGGGATGCATCAGGATACGGAGGAAATCCTAACCGACAATGGGGCTGAATTCAGGGGAGAAGTGTTAAGGAATCTGNCGTTTCCTCGGGATGCATCAGGATACGGAGGAAATCCTAACCGACAATGGGGCTGAATTCAGGGGAGAAGTGTTAAGGAATCTGGTCCTACATGGTGTCGCCATACGGAACACTGCACCTCACATGTCACAGTCCAACGGGCTGGTCCAAAACGCTAACCGGGTGATAAAGACAGCGTTGCGACGAAACATCGCGGCACGGGATCCGAGACCTTGGCCCGATATCGTCGATCACATCCTGGCGGTCCATCGCGGAACGCCCCACGAATCGACGGGGCTAAGCCCCTTCCAATTAAGGACCAATAGTGTCGCTTGCATTTCGATACCGAGCCTCCCGGATGAGACTACATTAACCCGGCGGCCCACCAGGACCACGGCTCGGGACAAGGCCAAACGACACCTAGAATTAATGGAACGGTCGCTGCCCAGGCTAGCTCGAAAGCGACAGAAAATGACCGAACTAGCCCAGGGCCGACAGGTCCGGAGCTACGAAGCCCGAAATGGGAATGCGGGTCCACGGCCCCAGTACAAATTGAGGGACGTGGTGCAGGTGAGGAAATGTGCTTGCCAGGGTAAGCTAGCGCCACGATTCTTCGGGCGATATCGTGTGATCGAGCTCGGCCCCAACGGCATGGACACCGTGCGCCTCGCCCCTGAAGTCTCTGGCAGTCGATCGGCTCGTCCGATCACACGCCACGTGTACTATCTCCGCCCCCTCCCCTCTGCTCTGACTCCTTCTCCCTCTTTTTCTCTCTCTGAGGAAGCCAAGGACGACGGCTCTGCCTCTCCGGCATCTCCCTCTTCCTCTTGCTCCCTCTCTGCCTCCCCGTCACCATCGCCATCGCCATGAGTTTTCTGAAGGAGAGAGCCCTCAGTGAAGCAGCGCTTCCGCCCCGTGATCGACTGACGATCCGGCAGGTCTATCATCCCTACCTCAGTCCAGACCTTCGGCGACTTGCGCACTTCTTCTGCACGGAAGGTGTATACGCGGCAGCGGTGTTCAAAATAGAAGGTCGGCCCAACCCAGTGGTACTGACCGAGGCAGCAGCGGTTCATCAGCGAGCGGTACCAGGTGTCAGTTGCATATCGGTCGTCATCAACTTCCGTGGCGATCTTTCCACACTCCTCCCTTTACGACATTCGGTGGTGAGGACATTGCTGCGTGCGTGGGCAAACGACCTGGTTGCCGAGTGGACCCAGCTTCTGGCTCGCCCAGGGACACGGTCGCGGCGACACGAGCTATCGAATACGACGGCCTTCGGATGTACCAACGTGATCCGCCGGCGATCCTCCCTGTTGTTGTTCCTTTCCCTCGCCCCCAATGAGTCTTTCTCCGATCTCCATTTTTTATCTCCCCTCCACCTTCCCCACCTTCTGGCAGTCTGATATCCATCCTCGCCTTTCCTACTGCCTAACGACCCTTGCTGTCCCCGACATTCGTCCCCCATACTGGGACCTGTGGCGCGAAGACTTCGTAGAGCTTTTACTGTGCTTGGTCGAAGTACGGCTGACGTGGATCGAGGACGAAGCGCACCCGCCTTGCATAGAGCGGCTGGAGTTGCTGTTTATCCAAGCCTGGCGCACCAACGTGGAGGGAGAGCTCCTCGCATTTTTATTCGGTGCAGTATGGCGCAGCCATCAGAACTTATCACGCAAGAGCTCACGATCCCGGTAGCGCAGCTGGCGGACGACCTCCCTCTTGACATCATCTCGCAAGACGACGAGCATTCAGTTCCCCATGTCCTTTCTCGCACCTTGACACCTCGTCTTCAGTGGTCGGCTTGCGTAGAAGGAGCCGCGGAACGCATCCCGCCGTCGCAGGGACAACATTTGGATCCCCGGGCGATTCGTGACCTTGCCTTCTTCAGGCCGCCTACAACGGAGCAGCTTGCAGCCATCATAGAGGAGGAAGAGGGGGAAGAAAGCACTGAGAGTGACGACGGGGAAGACGAGCGGGAAGAAAGTGAGGAAGGCGACGAAGTACTTGGGGAAGAAGACGAAACCCCCGAAGAAGGAAGCTATAGCGAGCATAGCGAGGGGGAGCAGAGCGAAGAAGAGGAAGAAGACGAAGAAGGAGAAGAAGGGCACGAAGAAGAATCTGTTGGACCAGAGTGGGAAGCCGTACCGGAAGAAGCGCTGCGCACAGGTACAGAGGCAGAAGATCCCAAGGCGGCCCGTAAAAGGGAAGAGATCGCGGGCAGGAAGACGAAGTTAGAACTCGCAGGCGCGGCGAGTCTGCAGATCTGCGACGACCCGAAYCGAGATCCGGAGCCGCCTCAACCTGAAGATGGCAACCTCGCGGCCACGACTCCGGCCCCATCGGCACGGCGAYGAAGCCGATCCCCCCCCTCCCCAACCCGTCCCTCAGTTCGCCGACGTAGCGATATGGGCGATCGGCCTTCGTCCCCGATTGCTCTCTCGCCGTCCCCTTGACTACCTCACCCTTCGCCAACTCACCACCCCCGTCACGTTCCCCTCCAATCCGTTCCCGCAGTACCTTCCGCCACTTCTACGTCGCTCGCCTCGCTGTCGTAGTGCATCCCCATCCCTCCCTCTGGTGCGTCGTCCCGGCCTTTTGCCTCCATGTCTTGCTTTTGAGTACCGCGTGGCGAGGCCACAATCTGATTGGGGTTTATTGCGTAATAACAGGGACCATCCTCGCATGCGAAGATCACGATCGTTTCCGTGCGGCGCTCTTCCGAACCTTTACCACCCTTTACCCCGACTATCTCGCGTCCCTCCCTCGCACTGGCAATCGATTTCCCCGTCTCCACCGCATTGTTCGTTACCAAGAACTCCCGGAGACTGCAGCCGGGATGGAAAGGTTCCTGCCCCCGCTACCCCTAAGCCCTCCGCCCCGCCATGCCGCCATGTACCAACTTCCTTTCCCCCTCCCGGTTAATTACTGATGCAGCAGGTAATGGACGCGTGTCACGGCGACGGCACGAGAAAGATCCCGTCCTTGAATTGTCGAGAGCCCAATCTGAGGAGATAGTGGAAGAGCCAAGTTGCCACGTTGGATGACGTCCACACGCGATCAAACGGTAAGTGGCATAAAGAGAAGTGCTCCGCGTGTCGATCGATTAGAGAAATCGACACGTGTCAACAAGCAAGCAGGAGCTTGCTAATATTGGAACCCCCTGGGCGTCACATATGTGATGAACCACTTTCTGTAACGCGCAAGTTTCTGCGCGGTTGCAACGAGGGGTCCTAAGCTGGGAAGATTGGGCCACTTATGGGAAATCGGGATCGGTGGAAAATTGCATCTGTACCCTTGCTTCTTCGTCTTTTTCGTCGCTTCTTCGGGGCTGGGTGTGTCCGGGGACGGCCAGCTGGGCGATTGGTCGGATGGATGTCTGGCGCGCCACCACGCGCGCGATTGATAAATGTCGATGTCGTTTCTTTCGTTTCGGGTTTGATCTTTTGGGCGCGGACATCGCGCGGGAAATTGTTTCGTTATTTTTGAATTTCCTTTTGAATCTTTTCGAATTTTGTCGAGCCCCGATGGCTCCCGGGATTTTGGACTTTCTTTCTGGAATGTATGCTTTTCCGCACTAGATAGGAATTTAGGAATTCAGTAATTAGGACTTTCTCTGCCGCGCTGCGCCTTTTGTCTACGCGATTTTTCATGCGGCTGCAACGGTACTCTGATAGGTGGGCGCCCTTAATCGTGTGTGKGACTGCAATTTTGGGCGGGCGCCATTGTAACTGTATCTTTCCTCTTGCACTTCGTCTCTCCCGCCCTCCCTCTCTTTCTTTTGCTGAAGTTTTGTAAGCCGCGGCTTGCATGCTCGGATCGATGCGTGGAGAAGGGTTACGTCCCCCACACCGCAGCCGATCATGTAGAACGCAGGCGTTCCCTTTCTAATCCTCACTCTAAGTCCTGGTAATTCCGCGTTCTTCACGCATGCATGCACGCTATAAATTTCGGTTGCGCGATTAGTCAGCTCTCTTGACCTGTTGTTGGAAGCTCGGGGTTGCGCGATCAGGAAGGGTYGGCACACGAGCAAAGWWAGAGGTSAGTAGAGTAGGAGTTGGGCGGCCCGACGAGCTGGTGCCGAACGYGCGGGATTGACGTGGGCCACRACGGACTGTGGGCAYGGGCGAATCYGAYGGGTGCGGRAGGASTAAGCGGGGTGAYAACTTCGTGGGTGGGTGCGTGAYGACGGACTGTCCRCATCGAAGAGAGAGGKAGAAGGAGAGAGAGTTGAGGYCGATGGACGTGGRTTTGCTRTTTCTTTGTCTCTTCCCCCTCTTCGTCTGTGTACATACATTTTGATTACGGCTCCGAGCGGTTTGCCCGTTCTTATTTTCATTTTCGGCTTTTAGGAACCGAGACTTGGGTTTTTGCTCACACTTGTCCCTGCTTTTGTCAATCTCGATTGCGCGATGTGTATGATTGCTGAATGTATGGATGTAGGAATGTTATGCTTCCACATCTACATCACTGCTGAGAATCCCGGTCCTTACCTTTGTCTGTGTCGAACCTTTGCTCACAACTGATGCAGCTGCAAATGGATAAGGATCTGGCACCGATAGCGATTTTGTCCTCGTTCTTGTTTATCTCGCGATGAGGGAGGGGGGGGTTATGATATGGTTGCATCTTGCATAATCCGAAGCAATTAAACGATATGGGTATTGACCCCACGAACGCCACGCGAGAATACGTGTGAACGCGATCCGAGTCGCGCCCTTACACGCATTCCCGTACGTCGATTCGCCCACCCAAGAAGACTTGAAGCGGAACCGTCATCCCGTACGAACCTAGTGAGGCGTCACTGAATCTGCCTGTCCTACACGTGTCCGTGCGCAGTGACGATATCCCAACCCGAGATATCCCATCGACGATGATAGGCTATGTCCGCGGAAATTCCACTGTGCCACCACTAGCGACCCTCGGTGCTCCGATTTCCCTTCCCCCGACCACACCTACTACTTCACCCACCCGGGATTCGTTGAGATCACCACCAGTTTCCCTCCTTTCCGCCTCCTTCTCCCATATCATCAACTCAGTGTCGTCCCGTGGTACGCCATAGCCCCCTACTGGCCCAATACGTTTTGCGTGAACTGCCGATGTAGCGGCGGACAGAGAACTCTGGAATTCCGAAGGCCCAACCCGGGCGCGCGGCGACCTGCGCCACGCGGTGGCCCCCGACCGCCTAACTTTCAGGACCACCCCCACCACGAAGGGACTTCCCCGTAACCCGTCACCCACCGTGCCCCGGCCCCCACCAGACCGTGAGTCCCTTGCGCACGCACCCCTGACTCGCCTAATTGCATTCATACCCTTAAGACTCCCCCACTTTCCCCAAAAATCCTTGGCACACCCCTTTTCGCACTTCCAGGCCCACATCCCACTCCGATCAGGAAGTCGCGCCGGGCGTGAGGTTGGGCGTCACAAGATATCGAATGGAACTCGGAGGTACGCCATAGCTAAATGCAAAAGAGAGGATGCGAATCGTCGTGCTAGACCCCATCGCCGTGAATACCCATACTAGTATGTCTGCGAATCACTCCTCTACCACCTTCCATCTTCACCTGCTTGTCTGAATTATCAGAGTGTTTTGGCCTTACGCCTTGCTCTCGTTCCAAAAGGGTTTACTATCACAGAGGACATAATCTGGCAATCACAAGAGCTGAAAGGATTTACAGAGTCCCAAGTCCCAGGTCACAGGTCTCTGTCCCAAGTCCCAGTCCCGAGTCCCAGATGCTAGTCCAAGGTCCCATTACGAGCTCCGTTTAACTTAGTGGCTCCAGCCACTTGTAGACTATTCACAAGTCCTCTAGAAGAGTACCTCTTGTTTGCACAATGACTTTGGAAGGCTTGGTAGGCTGGTGATGTACGAGATGATCGTGGTAGGAGGAGGTTCCTGTTAGATTATTGTCGAAGAGTCTATTATGTTTAGAAGGCACCACGAACCTCAGCCAAACACACACAGAGGTCTTTAGGCCAGGTGTCAGTCCCTCCGACCAACTAGCCAGATCCAAGGAGAATCCATAAACTTCCGGAAGCAGCAAACATTGTCAACGGAAAGGGGAGTGAACCCATAACCAGCACAAGATGCCTGGAGGGCGGATCAGCAAGCATAAAAGTCCAGCGCCGCATAGACTTCAGCACAATGTGTCGGGCATTCATTGCAAAAGTGCTGCTGGAGTCGGTGCATTGGGGAGGCTACCCAAGCCCGCGAGAGTGAGTGTAGCACAGTGTAGCCAATGGCACTGGGCACCATAGCCATAGTTGTAATGTGAGAGAGAAGAAGACATGATGAGAGACGAGCGAGGACTGTGAGGTGAGAGTGAGAGCAAGGAGAAGTCGGAGAGACTCTGAGAGAGAGAGAGAGAGAGAGAGAGAGAGAGAGAGAGAGAGAGAGAGAGAGAGAGAGAGACCTCCATGCTGGTGATTCAGAGGCTCCATAATCTTTCGCCTGGTATGTCCAACATTGAACCAGCATTGAAAAACACACAAAAAACAAAACTTAACAATTTTTCTGTTGAAGTTGTCGTGTGAGTCCCGTATGATGTGGAGCTCGTGCCTGACTGTGCCATGCTTGGTGGCCTCTTTTTTTTTTTTTTTTTTTTAAAAGCTATATTCTTCTCTCAATTTCACCTCACACTACCTACCTACCACTACTCCTAATTGTAGGCATACGGGGAACCCCGTAGCAGCCAGAACCGTGTTCACGAGAGAACATGCGGGGGGCTGCTCCTGACCTGCAGGTGGGCGATACCGGCTAGGGGACAACCGGAATCATCATGGACCATGCCAACAGGACCAATCCCTGTGCCTCCCCTCAGGTGGTGGTCCCCACCCCTTTTACGAACATCAGCAGACTCTGCTCAATGCAGATCGGGGGATCCAGTGGTCTATCTTTAGGTGGCGGGCGCCAAGCATGCCCAGGAAGGTACATGAGCCCGACGGAGATTGAACCCAAGACCTCCTGAATGCCACTTGCGAGCCTTACCAACTGAGTTAGGCCGCTGGTTGTGGTCTCATTTCATAGCAAGAGCGATATAAAAAAAAAAAGGAGAAAACTGCCGTTTTGCAGTCCAGTCCGGTCCGAGGTTTACAATGCAGTCGCGACTCTGCTTTGCAGAAAGAAACGTCGCACCACTGAGTTTGCACCTGCAGTTCAGTAAGGCTTGTGGTCGTTTCTTTTTTTTTTTTTTTTGCCCTCCGGGCGTGGCCAAGGCATCTCGTAGTGTGGCTGAGCCATGGCCTCGCCCGATCTTAGGGGGAAAAAAAAAAAAAAAAAAAAAAAAAAAAAA